GGCCTTGAAAAGGCGTGGGTACTTACCATGGATACTTCCGGGTTTACAAAACAAGGCCTCTTGACAAATCAAGGCCTCTTTCCAGAGGCCTCCTTTAGACAGGCCTTTTGAAGCGCAGGGTCGAGCTGTTACAAGGCAACTCTCGGAAGTTGGGATGGCATTCTTGCGTCACAGGAGTGGGACGAGGAAGTGCTGGACTACTGCCACACACTTACTGTTTGTGTTGGGTTGTGTTTGCCACGGTAGCATCAACTCATGTTTGATTTGCTTGGACGTGAGCCTGCCAAAGAACGCTTCGTGCGGGGGAGTTGACCAACAGTTGCCTCTTCCGTGTTGAATTACAGATGTGCGATTTCTTCCATGGAGTACAGAAGCAGGAAGCATGGAGCGTGAGGCAAAGATGTCACCAAAGATTGGCTTGATGAGTCGGACCGCCCGCTAGCTGATCATTGGATACTGAAAGGATGATTATTTGCCTAAACGGGCCAATATGTATTCGAACTCATAGTCATCGACTTTCGTAGAGCTCGATCACGCGATGGGAATGTTCCTTTCAAGGATGGCAATTCTGGCACGGCGTATCCTCCAGGACTTGGCCAAGGGCTTTAAGCTGGCGTTCCACTTCGTGGAGAATCCTTTCTTTACCAACGCGGTGCTTGAGAAGGAGGGGATTCGGAATGGTTAGTGATTCTGTTCACAGACTTGCCATGTTTTTGCTGACACCCTTGTTGACCACTGTCCTTGTGATGTTTGCGTGTGTGAGCGTGGCTGATCTCACAGGAGTACCACTTGGAGGAGGCTTCCCCCTACACGGGAGAAGTGTCGGCAAAAGAGGTGAAGGCAAGCCTGTCCTGAACTCCTGAACGCACGAAACTGCGTCACTGCGCCGATGCATTTCGTGAGGCTTCCAAGATCGAGTGGAAGGTCGGCAAGGACGTGACCGTCGAGAAGGCAAGAAACACGCGACGCGGCAGCACCTCGGGGCACGTTGGCCGATCCCCAGCGTCCCAGGTGACCAAGAAGGTCAAGGGCGGAGGCGGAGCCGGATTTCAAATTGAGAATCCAATTGGCGGACAATGCGGACATAGCTTCCCCTGTTTTTGCTAGCATGATGTAAGAATCATGTCTTCCGAAGCGACCCTGAGAATGGCCAGGTGCTAAGAAGGCAAAGCAGAAGGGCAAGGCAGCGCCCGGGCGATTTCCGGAATTTCTCGATCGATTCGAGTCTCGCGCTTCAGGAAAAGGAGGAGCCGCGAGACTCGTTCTTCCGCAACTGCTTTCGCCCGGAGCTTACTTTGGCGCGTGGCGTAGCGCATTTCTCGCATTCCTGCCTGTCCTCATTGAGCCAAAGTAGGCTTAACTTAGCAAAGGCGGAGTTTGCCACTCTCCAACATCCCAGGAAATCTCAAGCAGGGTGGGCCTATCCCTGATGCCCACACCTCAGAAATCCATGCCGTGGCCATGTGGTGAATGACATGCGAGTCAGAAAACCAATCAGGACGTGAACCTGGAGGAGGCCCGAGAGCTGGTGGACGAGGATGAAGGGTTCATCCTGCCATGTATTGAGATTGCCCTTCCTTGTGCGAGGCTTGGTTTCACCGCAGAAAACAAATCCCATGAATTGCGGCAAGCCGTGGAACAAACAAGTACTGACTGCAGGATGATTCCGACGACGAGCAGATGATGGAGCTGCTTTTGGCCGCTGGGCGTACCATCCCATGAAACCATGCGACCCATAAGAATACCCTTCCGCCTGTGAAGCTCACAGCATAGACACAGACGGCTGGAATCAGGGTTATGGGATCAAGGGGTTTTACCGTTTTACCCCACTTCTGAATACAAGCGAATCTCCTTCCCTATGTGCTATGTGGTGGGTTAGTCTCTGGGAAGCACTTATTTTTTGGTATCACAGAAGTGGGTTCCATTTCCCACAGCGGCCGGGCGGCCGGAATTGAAGCCTGTGCCAAGGAGAACGACTACGAAATCGGATGCTGCGCCGAGGACCCAGTGGCTGCAGTTTACTTCACAGCTGGACGGGACGGGTCTCTGGGCTTGGGGCAAGGTGCGTCAGGTAAGTGGTTCGAAAGCCTGGTTAAATCTCACTCAGGAGACTCGTAACCATGATTTTTGTGGGTTGTAACCAGGCTTACTAGCCACTTTTCTGACGTACCTTGCAAGTCGCGCATAGGTCCGGGACCAACTGATCCCCTACGCCGTGCGCTGGTACACGGGGGAGGCAGTGCCGGAGGCCGGAGACTCGCAAGTGCGAGTCAAATTCGGCGGTTCCTAAATATATGAGGGACCTCGACCCCCAAAGGCCTCAAATAATGAGGTCTTGGGCTGGTAGAAAACGACAGCACATATTTGAATGGCCCATTCCTGTACACAGGCGAATAGCAGCTAGAAAAGAAGAGTTGATGCGTAGTACTTGCCACTTGCTGCAGGACCACGGTTTTGACGAAGACGATGAGGCTGAACACTTGCACTAGCTGATTGCTTGTTTAACGTGCACATCCGTGCAAGATAGAGGCAGCAAAGGTCCTACTATGCTTCTGGCAGCGCAATGCATGCTTCCCTTTGATGCAAGGAGGAAGATGATGAGGAGGATGAGGACGACGACGACGATGAGGATAGCGAGGACGAAGAGCCTCCCAAAGGGAAGAAGGGCTACAAGCCACCGGCGAGAGGGAAGGCTGGGCACCAGATGCTTGGAACGCATCCTTTGCAAGCTTCAGTGGTGCTACTCGATGCTCGGGTTGCACAGGTTGGCAGAGTTTGAAGCAAACCGCAGAACGACGCCGTTGGAGCGCACAATTCCCCCTCAACCATGGAGCGCCAGGCTGGCAAGAGTGGCGGAGAGGCCTTTGGCCGCTGAGCCTTGTCAATCCTTTGCTTGGCATCGGCTCTTGTGGCCCGGATGATAGCTTATAGTGAACTCAGATTTCTACCGGAAAGAGTGAGCTTCATGGCAGGACAAGCAGGAGGAGTGCAAGCAGCAATAGGCCAGACTCAACATGTCCAGCTTGTTCTGAGCGGATCTTGTCTCGGGTGCTCATTTGTCATTTGTCATGTGCATGCTGGGCACGCTGGGCATGCTGGGCATGCTGAGCATGCTGGGCATGCTGGCTGACACAGCGAAGCTCGCCAGGCTGTGAGCACAGCCGACTTTTCAGGACAGCCAGCGCAGTCTTTTCCGCGGCTGTGTCAGCCTGCTGCGAAGGGCGCGCTGCCACTTTCACCAAGGTTTTGGTCTCGTGTCAGGCTAGGCTTGACCACTAGAAAAAAAGCCCCTAGGACCAGTGGAGAATGGGAAGGGAAGGTACCTGTCCGTCTTTTTGTCAGTCTCCTAGCTTTTGGTGCCACGTAGCGACCGCTCGAAGCGACCGTTCGAACTCGTTTTGCTCTCGCCTTCATTAGTGCTCGTTTGGATGCACCGATGTGAACAATACCTGGTCCTGCGCCGGTGCAGCTTGTGCGCGCAGAAGCACCAGCGCAGTCACGAGCAGTTCCAGTGAGCGCAGCTGACAACTGACAATGAGCAACTGACACTACTTTAGTTCGCGACAACTGCAGCAGTGGTTGATTGCTCCGGAACCGCTCGGTTAGCTTCTCGGGGTCGCAAGCAGATTGCGGAAAGGAACCTCGCGTGCACAGAAGGCGGTCCATGTGGAGCCCAATTCTGGCAAGCCTCAAGCCAGGAAAGGTTATTAGTCAGTTGCCGTTACTGTGGTCAATATATGTGCGTGAGTGTTTTTTTAAGGGGACCCCCCCAAAGGGTGGGTGTCCTTTTGGTTTCCCTTTACAACCAAGCAACAACGGGTTCCCCCGCCAAAAAGAGACGCCAGTGGTTTGCTCACAGTCTCTGTCAAACGGGAGGTGGAAGTCATGGAAAGGAAACCTGCTACACCTGTTGTTCTTGTGATTCAAACCTTAGCAAACTTGGAGAGGTTGGGATACATTGCTCATAAATTATGAGTGATGGGGATGCATCTTCATGCATTATACTTTCAGGCTTTTGTTTTCTTGGTGGCTGCCAGCCATTTTGACCTTTTTTTGGTTGGTTTAGTGGTTGGCTCCCAGCTTTGTGACGATGCTTGCGACCGGAAGTGGGTGGTGGCCAGCAGTGGTGCGGATCTGTTTGAGCTTCAGCTTTAATTTCGCTTGCAACGCATTCCTTCAAAGGATCGCTTTTTGCTGTTCATTTTACAGATTTGGCCATGGGGCAGAACCTATGGCTCCATTTTGGGGTGGATGTTCATCCATTTGCCACCTATTTTATGTTCACCAGGGGTACAGGGTTTTGACCCACAGCCATATGGAGTTTAAGCCAATACACAACTTGTTCCATTCCAAGCTGGGGTGTCAGGGCGTGGCGACAAGGAGCCGTTTACTTCAAGATATATTTTTCCGCCTTTTCAATGGCCAGTTGAGAACCAAACATCCGTTCCAACATCCGGCAGACTGGAATGGTCCGGATTCCGGCCGTCAACTTCCGATTTCAACACCTTTAGGTAATGTGTTGGGAAACCAACTAGCAGGGATACAGGGGGAACCAGGGATCGGGAGGATTCCCCCTAAGTGCACCTTGACTAAGTTTGATATGGGAAATGGCGCCAAGGGAATGCCCCCACATCCCCGCTCCCTCCGTATCCCCGCTTGTTCGTTTGTCCATGTTGTTTTTTGTGGACCAAGAGGCCAGGTCTTGAGTCATTGGGTCCACCCCGCTTGTTCCAGAGGCTCTGCGCCTATGCGGGCGCCTTCGCAGATTGAACTTCGCGTTAGAAAAAGGGGCGTAGCTTCAGCTTGGCATGACACCCGCCCAGTTTCATGGCTGCATGTCCATCGGCATTTTTTCATCGGCCGGGTGTCATTTGGCAGAAGCACACTATTGAAAGGGTGTGTACATTGTGACAGAGGATCATATGCTTCGACACAGCCGGTCGGACTCAGCCAGCTGCGGCTTTGGCTTCTCGCACCGAATTCTCCACATCTCATGTCAGGTTCAAAGGCACCGCTGGCAACGGCGATGTCGCGGTCTCCTGGACCGCACTTCGGATCGGTCAATCTGCAAGCCTCTGAAATCGCAATGGGCACATTCGCTGAATTACTAGGTTACTCACCATCACATGGAAGTGTACTTTGTGTACTACTTTTGTGAATGTGGTGAAACCAGCCCCGTGATAGCGCCGCGGTGGATGGCGCAGAAGCTTTATTCTGCAAAGGTAGCGTTTCCGGAAGCACTTGGGGGCATAATGTACAGATGTGTAAGTGTTGTGCTAAAGGTTTTCGTTGGAGATTCGGCATGGAACGCAAATAGATGTGCGCCATCATGCTTTTTGACAAAGATCAAACAACCCTTCCCTAGCAATTCACGACCTGTTTGCATTCCATACAGGCATTCCTGCCGTTCAAGCCGCGGGTGATTCCCCTTGGCTGGCCTCCAGGAGCGCGTTGAGGCTGCCTTCTGTAGCCAGAGCCAGGCTGGGGAGAAAGTGGACTCATGAGGATACCGGGCATCCATTGGACATGAGATCCATTGGTATACGCAGCCGTATGTGAGTCGCGTGGTGCCAAGCTCAATCTTGAGCGGGAAACCTTGGTGCGCTGATGCTGCAATACCGTAGGAGGAGTTTCAGCATGTCAAGTTTTGCAGTCTTTTGTCATGAACTTGAGCGCAAACTATACCTGTGGTGTGTTCAATGCTTTTTGCGAATCTAAAGCAGAAGTAGGTTCCATTGGGTTGGCCGCTTCTCCGCATGCCCGAATGCCGGAGCTTTGGTCAACATCGACACCATTGACCCAGGGGCCTAGTGGGGCCACTCATTGGTTTGAACATATTTAAACCACTGGTTATGATGATTCTTCCCTTGCACAGGTGGTGTTTAAACCATATTTTGCCCCAGGGGCCCCACAGCCCCACAGTTGCTGAATGACGACCAACTGATTTCCCAGCTGGGGACCCTCCTCTCCAGATGCTGCTGCGGGGCCTTGTGGGTGCCTGGCGCAGCGCAGCACTCTTCATGGGGCGTGGGGCCCCGTTGCTTATAGCCCAGAGAAAAGGAACGCACACCTAGTTTGAGACATGTGCACAAACCAGTAACCAGCCTTTGGTTCAAGTGCTTTACGTTAGAATAGATACACATCCAACACAGGCATGTCCTGAATTTTGGACTCCAGCGACTTCCTGGGGATCTTTGTCACTCCGAGCTCTGCCCCGCTTGAGTCTTTGAGCTGTGATTCGCTTGAGGAGCCAGCGGGCCAGCTGCTTGCAGCAGCATCGGCAAGCTCGGCGCACGAGCCGACAAGTGCTGGCCGGGCATCCCAGGAGAGTCCTGCCGACCCGAGCCGATCAGAAGCCAAGCGCCATCCCAAGCCTTTGGCCGGGCCTGTCTTGCTCCCTGAAGCATCCGCACGGATGCATTCGAAAAACTGTGCTGCTAAAAGCGAAACGCATCCGCATTTTTCGGATGCATTTGTATGGCAGACGCAGGCAAACAGGCTCCGCCCAAGAGTGGGGCAGGATGGTTGCAGGAAACCCTTCAACTAACCCTCCAAGTAAAAGCCGACCGACCGCCTCAAAAAAAACCCGGTAAAGTGTTGAGTTGCATTGAACGTCTTAGGAACCCAAATGTCCTGAGAACCTCTTGGTAGAAAAGGCCTTCGGGCTAGATGCGTGAATGTCAAAGCTTCTGGGCTGTGGGTCTTCGCACCGCGAGCCTAGATTTGCACCCAAATCCCAGATGTTGCAAGAAGTATCCTTTGCGTTTGATGACTGCAAAACGGGCGCTGGCAAGCATGCGGAAGCTATGTGCAGGGGTGGATTTTGAAACTTTGAGCGTGTTTGTGTACACTTTCTTGTAGAGCAGTCGTTGCCGGGTCAGGGCGAAAGACATTATGAAGACACCCTTGTCGAGTGCACCTTGAACCACAATGTATTTCTGCACCGAGACTCATGCTCTGCGTTGGATAGCATGCAGCCCAATGTGTCGAACGCCAGCAATCACCGAAAGGACTCAAAGCAGCTGCTTCGCGCGCATGACAAGTTGAGTTTCTCTGGATACAAGCAAGCAAATTCCTGGCATTTGCTAGAAAGAAAGCTGAGCCCACGGGTGTCTCTTTGCCACCGACCTCAAACAGGAATCCTTCACTACGAGTCGCTCAAGGTTCCACCAACAGGCGGCAAAAAGACCCCCCTGGCTCAGCCAAGATGGCCGGAAGCGTTTTTTAAGCCACTGCCTTTCCAGAACGAACGCATATCCGCCAGCGCCTCACTCTCGGTGAGGCCATGCTGCTGAGGACCCGAGGCGGCTCGTTTTCGGTTTGCGGCTTGCCAGTGGAGCCATGTGGGGGGTGATCAATATTTTTCTGGCCCCGCAAGTGACCATGGGCCACTTTTCCCGTGTAGTGGTTGAAATTTGCTCTTTTCTGCGGTTTTCCACAATGGTCATCCCATGTAAAGGACCTTTGATCAACCCCCATGTGTGTTAGCTTCAGCTTCGGTTTGTTTAAAGCGACAGGCCAATCACTGAAGAAGCTATGCATCTTTGGCTGGCGAACGTCGCGAGCCTAGTGTCACAAAGTACGATGCCATACAACTTTATACAGCCTTGGACTCTCCTCAGTAGAAAGGACTGTAACAAGTACAGCCTCGTAGTTGCTTGCCCCTCAATGAAGACGGTCCCCCGTGACGATTCTGTTTGGAAGACCTGTTTATTGACAGGGTCAAGGCCGGCGACCTGGGGTGCAGGCTGGCAGTGCCGATTTGAAGTCTTTTGAGTTGTACTTCGCACATGTGCGAAATAAAGGCATGCGCGAATGGGCGGAAAGGGAGAGAGCTGGAAGGAGAGGGCAGAGTTCTGGGGACCCTCCAATGAAACAGGATTCCCACGAGGCGCGACAAATAGGTCTCGGGTGGATCAAATGGCAAGGGATTACCTGGGACTGGTCGCTTGGCAAAGCTGAGGATGATGCATCTTGGAGAGGCCAAGGGAAGGGCGGAACTGTACCAAAGGCGGATGTGGGGTTCACATTTGGGTTAAGAGATCCAAGGTGCAGCTTGGTTTAAAACTGCGCCATCGGACGCAAGGTTTTGCACGTGCCGTGCCTTGCTCGCAGCTTTTGCAGTTTGGGCGCTTTGTGTTACAGCAGCTGAGCGGCCATGGGTGGCAAGGGAAAGGGTAAGGGCAAGGTGGTGCCTCGACTACGATTTACTCACGGGGACTTGGCTCGTGCTTCACCTGTACATGTATTTCTCATGCATGATTTGTGGGCGGCCCAAGTTTGCACGTCTCTTTGTGCGACTTCTAAAATCCCGGGTTTTCCCGACGTTCCAACGATTGTTCGATTCGATGGCTTGGTTGACAGTCAAGCTGCGAAATGACTCGACTGGCGGCACCAAGGCCTCCAAGATCCTTGGCTTGCACTTTACCATGCCTTGTGCTGATTTGCGTCTCCATGAAAGCATGAAAGGCGTGAGGGCCATGCATCCAATTGGCTCACCTTCAAGTGAGAGTCCTTTTGACATCGCGACATCTCAGGGTCTGCAACAACTGTGGTGGGGTTGGCCACATTGCTGGAATGTGCAAAGAGGACAAACAGTGCCACTGTCACCTGGTTGCACTATGTTCATTCGCCTGACACACACACACACACACAGACACACACACACACAGACACACACACACACACACACGGACACAGACAGACGCGGACACAGACACACACGGACACAGACACACTTTCAGACACACAGACACACACAGACACACAGACACACAGACACACACACACAGACACACAGACACACAGACACACAGACACACAGACACACAGACACACAGAGACACAGAGACACAGAGACACAGAGACACAGAGACACAGAGACACAGAGACGCAGAGACACAGAGACACAGAGACACAGACACACAGACACACAGACACACAGACACACAGACACACAGACACACAGACACACAGACACACAGACACACAGACACACAGACACACAGACACACAGAGACACAGAGACACAGAGACACAGAGACACAGAGACACAGAGACACAGAGACACAGAGACACAGACACACAGAGACACAGACACACAGAGACACAGACACACAAAGACAGACACAGAGACAGAGACAGGCAGACAGGCAGACAGGCAGACAGGCACAGACAGGCGGACAGGCAGACAGGCAGACAGGCAGACAGGCAGACAGGCAGACAGGCAGACAGGCAGACAGGCAGACAGGCAGACAGGCAGACAGGCAGACAGGCAGACAGGCAGACAGGCAGACAGGCAGACAGGCAGACAGGCACACACACAGACAGGCACACACACACAGACAGGCACACAGACAGACGCACACAGACAGACGCACACAGACAGACGCACACAGACAGACGCACACAGACAGATGCAAACAGGCAGACGCACACAGACAGACGCACACAGACAGACGCACACAGACAGACGCACGCAGACCGACGCACACAGACCGACGCACACAGAAAGACGCACACAGACCGACGCACACAGACCGACGCACACAGACCGACACACACAGACGGACGCACACAGACGGACGCACGCAGACGGACGCACGCAGACGGACGCACACAGACGGACGCACACAGACGGACGCACACAGACGGACGCACACAGACGGACGCACACAGACGGACGCACACAGACGGACGCACACAGACGGACGCACACAGGCGGACGCACACAGGCGGACGCACACAGACGGACACACACAGACGGACGCACACAGACGGACGCACACAGACGGACGCACACAGACGGACGCACGCAGACGGACGCACACAGACGGACGCACACAGACGGACGCACACAGACGGACGCACACAGACGGACGGACACAGACGGACGCACACAGACGGACGCACACAGACGGACGCACACAGACGGACGCACACAGACGGACGCACACAGACAGACGCACACGGAGAAGCACACGGAGACGCACACGGAGACGCACACGCAGACGCACACGCAGACGCAGACGCACACGCAGACGCACACGCAGACGCCCACGCAGACGAGCACGCGGACGCGCACGCGGACGCGCACGCAGACGCGCACGCAGACGCGCGCACGCGCACAGACACACAGACACACAGACACACAGACACACAGACAGACGCACAGACAGACACACAGACAGACACGCAGACAGACACACAGACAGACACACAGACAGACACACAGACAGACACACAGACAGACACACAGACAGACACACAGACAGACACACACACAGACACACACACACACAGACGCACACACAGACACACACACAGACACACACACAGACACACACACAGACAGACAGACACACGGAGACACACACACAGACACACAGACAGAGACACACAGAGACAGACACACGCACAGACACAGACACACACACACACAGACACACACACACAGACACACACACAGACACACAGACACACACACACACACGGACACACAGACACACACACAGACACACACAGACACACACGGACACACACACACACACGGACACACACGGACACACACGGACACACACACGGACACACACACACACACCCACCCACCCACCCACCCACCCACCCACCCACCCACCCACGCACGCACGCACGCACGCACGCACCCACGCACGCACGCACGCACGCACGCACCCACGCACCCGCGCACCCACGCACCCACGCACCCACCCACACACATACAGACACAGACACAGACACAGACACAGACACAGACACAGACACAGACACACAGAGACACAGAGACACAGAGACACAGAGACACACAGAGACACAGAGACACAGAGACACAGAGACACAGAGACACACAGACACAGAGACACAGAGACACACAGACACAGAGACGCAGACACACAGACACACAGAGACACAGACACACAGACACACAGACACACAGACACAGAGACACAGAGACACAGAGACACAGAGACACAGACACACAGACACACAGACACACAGACACACAGACACACAGACGCACAGACACACAGACTCCCACACGCACGCAGACGCGCACGCACGCACAGACACACTGGCACCCACACCCACACCCACACGCACACCCACAACTGCTCCCACAGGCACGCGGACACGCGCGCGCGCTCACACACACAGGCGCACGTGCACGCGCGCGCACGCATATACGCACGCGCACGCACACGCGCTCTCGCACGCACGCGCGCGCACGCACCCACACACACACACACCCACCCAACCCCACACCCACACGCACAGGCACACGCGCACACACACGCGCGCACGCACGTTCGCGCACGCGCACGCGCAAGCGCACGCACCAGCGCGCGCGCACGCACACGCTCATGCACGTGCACTTGCACTCGCACGCACAGCAAGCGCACGGGCACGTTTTTGTGTTGAATGAGGCTTGAGGCTGAAATAGCGGAGAGTGTGTGCCATTTTGTTTAGGCATTGTTTCAATCATTGTGTTTGGCATTGCTTGGTATTGGCTACGACTGAGAGTCTGCTGCCGCAGCTCAACAGGCTGTGGCGCCACAGCACACGAGATTTCGGAGTGCCCAAGCCGTGAGGAGCCTGTTGGCAGCAGTTGGAAAGTGTACTGCAAAACAACGAAATAGAGACATTCTGTGATATGCTGGCGAGCTTTGAAGTGCACTGACTTGCTTAATTTGCATGCAGCACCAAGGACATGCACGATTTGTGGCAAGGTCGGCCATCTGAAGAGACTTGGTCCAATCGAAGGGACGCCGAGATGGGTGAGGCACTTGAGCTAAGTTGCGCATCAGAGCACAATGACAGCGCTTATGCCAAGAAATGAAACTGCGCCGCTCAGCGCACGCAGACATACCGGGAAGCAACTCCGCGGGTTTGGCGCCTCATGTTTTCTCAGCAATGGCTCCGCGACGGTCAATGTTGGGTTCAATGCTGTAAGCAGGACGCATCAATTTTTCCCGCAGAGCACTGGGTTAGCGCACAGAGTTCATTCGGTTTCAAAATGGTCACGCAGGCTTGGCTCCTGGGTGGATTCGGCGGCCATCCTGACAGATTTGGACCCTCAAAGTGGTACTGGAGCCAGCTTTCTGGAGGGACAATGACGTCAGATGAGCATTTGAGACAAACAATTGCCGGGTTCATCGAAAACCTTCTAGACGTTGTTGCTTCAGGATTCGTCAGGGTTTCAGCTTGACAGTGTCAGTAAGAACCGCGTGTTTGTTCTTCATGATATTTCTACTAAACATGCGAAACAGGAGTTTTTGGTTGAATATTGCAAGCGGGCTTGGCAGTCATAGTTGAGGGCGTTCGTTGCCCTGTATTGGTACATTGCCTTCCGTTAGATCATTCCTGGCCAAGCACGCAAGCAACCAATGCCAGATACGAGAACTGTTGCTGGCAAACTCACTCGCCCAGAGTCAATGCACCCTTTGTAGCTGCTGGCGCCAAGGACCAAGTGCCGCATGGAAGTGCAGAAAGCTGTGGACAAGAAATGTGGGGCGCTTAATGCTTGATGCCTGGGCTTTGGAAGTTGGTCTTTTGGCGCTGCTTCCAACCCAAAACATCATCGCACATTGTTTGGCAACCCCTGCCTCGCTTCAAGCCTCAAACATGCGTGGGAGTCTATTGGAATGGTTCCAAGAAGGAAGAATGACGGCTAGTCCATGCAGACCGCGAAAAACCGGTGGAGCGAGGCAACAACTGCGGCGTGGTGGGCCACATCGCCCGGGACTGCGGGGACCCAGCACAGTGCCACTGCTGCGGAGCTACTTGGCAGCAGATCGCCATGATCGCCGCCAGTCTGGAGATGGGTGTCTGTTTTTTAGGGCCCCAAAATGGGAAACCCAATAAAACCACGAAACAAGGGAAGCCTCAAAAAAAGGCCGAGCCACCCATGCACCAAATTTTTGTTTGTCTCGATGCGAATCAAGGCGATTGCCCATGAGATCGTGGA